ATTATGAGGCAGTTGTTCGAAGAGAACAAGGGGAAACTGCATAGTTAAAATCGGAAAAGAGTGCAGCAAAGTTGTATCCTTTCACCTTACTTATTCAATCTGTATTCTGGGCAAATAACCCAAGAAACTGGACTATATGAAGAAGAATATGGCATCAGAATTGGAGAAAGACTCATTAACAAGCTGCAATATGCAGATGACACAGCCTTGCTTGCTGAAATTGAAGACAACTTGAAGAATTTACTGATGAAGGTAAAAGACGACAGCCTTCAGTGTAGATTACACCTGAATGTGAAGAAAACAGAAATCCTAACAACTGGCCTGATAAAACAACATCATGTTAAATGGTGAAGAAATTGAAATTGTCAAGAATTTCATTCTACTTGGAAGCAGCAGTCAGGAAATCAAACGACATGCTGCACTGGGAAAATCTACTGCAAAAGACGTCTTTAAAGTGTTAAAAAGCAAAGATGTCACTGTGACGACTAAGGTGCATCTGACCCAAGCCATGGTATTTTTAATCATCTCATATGCATGCAAAACCTGGACAATGAAAAAAGGAAGATTGAAGAAGAATTCACACATTTGAATTGTGATGTTGACAAAGAATATTGAATGTATCATGGGCTTCCAGAAAAACAAACAAAACAGTCTTGGAGAAATCACAATCAGAATGCTCCTTAGAAGTAAGGATGGTGAAACCTCATCCCACTTACTTTGGACATGTCATCAGGAAGGACCAATCTCTATAGAAGGACATCATGCATGGTGAAGTACAGGGTCAGCTAAAAAGAGGGAGACCCTCAATGAGATGAATTGATACAGTAGGCTCTAACATAGCTATGATTGTGAGGATGGCATAGGATTGGACAACGTTTCATTCTGTTAGACATGAGTCAGAGCCAACTTGATAACAGCTAACAACAACAACAACAAAGCGAGACTATGTTGTTAAAGAATGAAACCTCTGAAACAAATGTGAAAATGGATGGTACTGCAGGACAGTGGGTAAATTGTAATGGACATCTTTGAACATACTTCTCTTTGGAGGGTGTTTTTAAAGTGTGATTAATGAGTTAAAGGTTTTAAAGTGATATTATTGTTAGGTACCATGGAGTCAATTCCAACTCATAGCAACCCTGTGTACAACTGTATGAAACACTGCCTAGTCCTGTGCCATCCTTGCAATCATTGCTTTGTTTGAGCCAATTTTTGTAGCCACTGTGTCAATCCATTTCATTGAAGGTCCTCCTCTTTTCGCTGACCCTCTACCAAGCATGATGCCCTTCTCCACGGACTGGTCCTTCCTGATAACATGTCCAGAAAACGTGGGACAAAGTCTTGCCATCCTCACTTCTGAGGAGCATTCTGGATGTACTTCTTTCAAGACAGATTTGTTCATTCTTTTGGCAGTCCATGATATATTCAGTATTCTTCACAAACACCATAATTTCAAAAGCATCAATTCTTCAGTCTTCCTCATTCATTGTCCAGCTTTCACATGCATATGAAGCAACTGAAAATACTATGGCTTGGGTCAGGTGCACTGTAATCCCCAAAGAGACATCTTTGCTTTTTTAAAACTTTAAAGAGGTCTTTTGTAGCAGAATTTCCCAATGCAGTATGTCATTTGATTTCTTGACTGCTGCTTCCATGGGCATTGGTTGTGGATCCAAGTAAAATGAAATCCTTGACAGCTTCAATCTTTTCTCTGTTTATCATGATGTTGCTTATTGGTCCAGTTGTGAGGATTTTTGTTTTCTTTATGTTGAGGTATA